GAATATAGGTTGAAAAGGATTTGCAAATCGTATTCTGTTTTTATTTATGTTTTACAGAACGTCCCAACTTCATTGGAATTGGGGTTGTACATATACAACATAGCTCTAGTGTTTATAGACATTTAAATTAGGAAATGTTAAAGATTATAATTTTAAACTATTGACCTAAGATTTGTATCAGAGATCCTTGAGGAGGTTGACTTTCACTCTAATTTAATGTATAAGAAATTTGTAAATGTCTGTTTGACCTGTGAGTGCACTCAGGTACAATTAGCTCATTTTCTGTACAGTCCAGAGTAATGAGGTTGATGTTCTACTGTGTCCAAGACATGAAAGCAAAACTGTCTGTGCTCCACTTGAACTCACAACACATATTAATAATGCATCTGTCTGCTTGTCCTCCTGTCTGTCTGTGTATTTGTGTACGTGTGTGTGTGTGTGTGCCGAACGCCACAGACCGGCTATACTTTGCCACTCTTCGTGTCAAACCAAAGAATACAGCCAACACGCACTACTTCAACACGGACGAGGAGTTCATATATGAGAGGTAAGGCTCTGTGATAACCAGCTGGATCATATTAACATCACTCTGCCAGTTCCAGAGATTATGCCGCCACAGAATACTCAACTCACACAATGGAAGGCAGACTGACAGAGATGCACTTATGGCATTATGACAGATTATTCACAACCGGTAGCAGTGCACCAAAACAGCAAAGGCATGTCCCAGTGAGAACTAACCAGGATTTCAACGTTGATTTCTAGTTTAAAACTGGGAGATATTAGGCCTGAACATCTAAGACCTCTTTTTAACCAGCTACAATGTGGTTACAATCAGTGTGTCACAAAAAACAAACTTGTTTCATCATGTGATCATTAGTTCAGTTGTAGGTTGACAGAGAGACGGTATTGATGAGTGTAAAGGTATTTCTCCAAAGTTTTGTACATTGTTGTAAAATAATACAATTGTGCTTACTGCTGTTACATGCATGTGCAAGTACTCAGGCGTATTGGTTGAAGTTCAGCTACTGCAAAGGTATATGCACGGGACTTGTGGTATTATCTTCAGCCTGATGTATAGTATAAGAAACAAAACAAACAAAATCTAACAAAATCCTCAGTAGCAGGAAGATGTGGTGGATGAGTGGGTTGAGCATAAGGCTTTCCCCAATGAGACTGTGCTTCAACTCCAGAGGTTAGTTTTTATATTCATTCTAGCTTTCAAATGAGAAATCTGGATGTGGTTAAGGCTTTTCACAGGTGACCATTATAGTTTTTTGAACGTCTTTTCAACTGATTGATGTTCACTGCGGTAGTAGTTGTAGCCAGTATCTAAAATGGGTGAGTACTGGCACTTTGAGTTTTGTCCACATGAGTTCCCCTAATTCTTATTGAGTGCCGCCACTTCTGGCGGGCATGGCCACCAAGATCTGGACTACAGCACTGAAAATATACTTTCATAAAATAAAAAGTGCTAAAGGAATTTGGGTTCGGGTTGTTTTTTGTTGAGGGTTAGGGTTGTGCAGAATTAAGTCACTGGCTCCTTTAGGGTTGTGCAGAATTAAGTCACTGGCTTCTTTATTTAGTCCAATTCAGGCACTGGTTGTAGATTAGAAACCCTGGAGTAACAGCAAGAATTTCTTCAGTAGACAGGGTTCAATTTACCTGAGGTTGAAGAGGCCTTGGAGCAAAAATGAGCTGCTGGTCCCCGAGTCATTGCCCCTGTTCCTCCCAATCTGTACAGACACTGGACACTGGAGTACTACTGGACCCCAGACTTTGGTTAAACACATTCATTTAGGAATAATGAACATAATAGCACAATTTTTGAAAGGCTTGAAACTAGATTATAAGACAGGAGCCCTCTTCAAGACAGAGCCTCAACATCAGATAGTAAAACAGGATCCACCATAAGGTTCTTACAATGTGGGTTAATATCTAAGTCGAGTATGCTTTCAATTAGGCATGGGATGATATGAAAATTTCATGTCACAATTATCTTGGCCAAAATAATTGCGATACACAATATTATCACGATAATCACATATTCAATACATAGCTATCTGCCGCCTTCAACCGTGGTGATAGGATGAGGATTTTAGAATGACTGGAAAAATGTAAATCAGGAATATCAATATAGGACTGTATGCTGGAGAGCTAGACAGCTTTTTCAAGTCAAGCCATGTGAGAATATTTACGATAATGTATAATCAAATAAAAACATCAGGTACAAATAATACCCATTTACAACCAGTGGTGGCTCAAGGACTTTTAAAATAGAGTGAGTATTGTATGAGGGTGGCAGCCTATTCTTGGTATACTGTACATTCTTCATTGCATCCTGGTTTTTATTCCAGGTTTCATACAAAGACAGCAATAAGAACAATGAAACATCTCATGTTCAGCATAGCAGAGGTCAATGGTGTGCCACAAATTTCAGGGTGGCATCTGGGGTGTCGGAACTGGTTGTTGGATCTATGTATGCAATGCAAATTCGGCCAATTTAACAATGATGAGCACAATATAAATATTTAAAGGACCAGTATGTAAGATTTAGTTAGAATCAAACATGAGGATATTTTTAAGTGTTTATTAGAACTTTTACTATTAAGAACTGTCATTTGTTATCTCTTCCTCTGCTTATAGGTGTCCACAGGAGTTATAGTTGTTAACAAATAGATCATTTAACACCTACATGCTTGCAACTACATTACAGTGTGTTATGAACCATTTATTAAATCTACATATACTACAGACTTGTCTGTGCCTATAAAATTAAGATCATGTGAGCTGTGCTCAGATTGTCCGCAGATCTCAGATAAGTCTGAGGATATAATAGGCATTGTTCAGGTGGTGTGCAACTCTTGTATTCCTAGTTCCCCTCCACTGCTCTTACCCTTTTTACCACTTGTTGTCGGCCGGTACTGATATCATATGTCACCTCCATCACTTCATGACCAGTTCATGACAGGGTTTTTTTTACATAGTGGATCATTAAGCCAATGTCTTACTCAGGCTTTCATAGCCTGGATGATTATTTTTGGCTTTATAGGATAGTAACAATGTGAGGCACTACACCCATGAAGAATGTAATATAACTTATACAGTATATGTATAATCTATTGATGTATTCTGCATCCTTCAGAGAAGTTGGCCTGCAAACCAGGATATAGCAATAGTCCAATCTGGCAATGATAATGATCATAACTTATTCCTAAAAGATGACTCATGTCCTCAGTCTCATTAGTGTCCTAGGTGTGATATTTAACAGGCCATTGGTAATGGCTCTCTGCTAGATTAATCCAGAGTAAAAAAGTTATATACTGTATATTGCCTTCACAGTCACCTGACCTCCAACCCAACTGAACACACATAGGACATTTTTTCTGGGTAACACAGGGACATCATCTGTTGTTTGTCACTACTAACAAATTCAAGTACAGTAGGCCAAGGAAGTAGCCTCGTCATGGTTAATCCCACTCCTCTCATCCTTACCTCTGTCCTTTAAAGGGCCAGTGTGTAGGATTTAGTGGAATCTAGCAGTGAAGTTGCAGATTGCAATCGTTTGAATACAGCTCAGCCTTCCAAGCATATAGGAGAAACTATGCTGGCCCGCAAAACTCACAAAAAACGGAACAGAAGGCCCTATCTATAGCCAGTGTTTGGGTTCACTGTCCTGGGTTAATGTAGAAACATGGTGGACTTTGTAGAAGAGGACCCACTCCCTCTCTAAAAGCAGCTCATTCTAAACAAACACAAGGATATCCTTATATTCAGGTGATTATACACTCATGAAACATCATCGGAAAATTATACTATATTCCAATTCTGACAGTAGATCCTTCTAAATGTTACACACTAGACCCTTCCTTCTTTCCTTCCTTTATGATGTGGACCAAATACTGTTAGAATGAAAAATGTGTTCCTGTGAGAACTGAACCACTCACTCTGACTATGATTTTATATTTTATATATATATATTTTGCTGACTTTGTGAAGCACTTTGTAAGATGGATTTTGAAAAGTGCTCTATAAATAGAGATTATTATTATTATGGTTGATATTCCCATAAGTGTTCAGCCAGTGGTTATCATCCCACTGTAAGATATAGGTCAAGATGAGATCAGTGCCCTGGAGATGGAAAGAGATTTAGAACAAACACTGGACGACACCATTCTGACTGGATGCTTCGTAATTCCAATCTACCATTTGTACCAGCCTACCAGTTTTACAACTAATGAACACAGATATTTGACATGAAACGTGAGTCATTAGAATTTATGAAAATGGCAATAATGCAATGTAATAATAATCCACTTTTGCTTTTAAAAGCCTACTAGTACTGGCTGACTATTAGAATATATCAGTGCATTAAATAGTCCTCTAGGCTTTAGTTATTAGTTGAGTGATTATATTATATTATATTAGATAAAATAGATACTCATCCCCAAGGGGAAATTCAGTGTGTCAGGTTATATACAGAGATTCATTTTTAATGATCCTCCAGAAATGTATTAAGACAAAATACAATGTTTTGTATCTGATATGTTTTTTACACACACACACACACACACACACACACATAAACGTCAACTTAATTGTTTCTGCTAATAAAATATGTGTATTTAGTGTCTGATTTGCAGTGAGTGAAAGAGCTGAAAAGCAGCTCAGTGCTGGGATTTATCTACTCTGAAAATGAAAAAAGCTGGCTTTTACAAATTTCCTGAACCTTTACACCAAGAAAAACTAGCTATCTGCCTGTGTGGGAGGGTGAAGCCAAGAAGCACTGACAGTGTAGGCTCAGCCACCTCTGGACACACATCTGGTCATATAGAAACATTGCCTTAAATGTTGTCAATAACATTTGAAATGGTTATCAGTAGCCAGTGAGGGAAAGTTTGAATAAGGATGAATATGACCATGTTTCTGTGGGTCAAAAGCAATGCTTCAGCATTTTGGAAAGGTTCCAGCTGGGATAGAAATCTGGCTAAGGCAGGAATAAAACATGAATTGTTTTCTGCAGGTCATACAAAAACAAAAAACAACAAAATTATTTTGCTTTATTTTAAATGAAGAAAAAATGCAGGACTGTTCAACGCTGACAAAACAGGGGTCTAAATCACACTCTTCTGTGATTTAAGCTTTGCACCAACAATGTGCAACACTTATTTTGCAACCTGCACTGGGTTGCACCAGCAATATGTAAGTAAAACTGTATTTATATAGCACCTTTAAAAACAACGTCACAAAGTGCTGCACAGGATATAATTACAGAAAAGCAATACAATGCACAATACACTGAAAAATACAGAAAAATACATTCCAGTAGGGAAGGCAAGTCAGAAAAAGATTTTAGAAACTATAAGAACAACCTGTTTTTTCAGCATTTAGCTGGAAGAAGTTGAGTTACATCTATTACTTAACAGCAGCCAGGCAGTCATGGAGGGTACCAATGTTACCCAGATCATGTGGCTTTACTGAAAAATACAGCTGCATGTGGTCAGCATAGCAGTGATGGGAGAGTAAAGCCTAACCCTAACCCTAGTAAAAAGGTTAGTTTGTAACTAAATCAGGCACTGATGCAACATGCTGCAGGTGTATAAAGAAATTCTCCAGAGAGCACAACCTACAAATTCTTGCCATCCCCTACAAGTAGTAGTAACGTCTGAGGTGAAGATGTGGTTACTTTAAACTTTCATTAATATTCAAATTCAGTCCCTCCTGACATTAAATCCTGTCCAGTCCCTGCCCCCACCCCTCAAGTACACGAATGTTTGAGGCCACTCTGATGAGCTCATGTAGCTCTCATTGGGACAAACATGAAGCCTAACCAAATGCAAGGAAGCGGTTGACCCTTTGTCTTTTCTGTCCCTGTCTCTTACAGACTGGAAACAGAGAATGTATTGGTACATTCCTGTTAAATTTCACTCACAGTACAGTTCAAATAAGGAGAAATACTGTCATTGACGTACGGCTGCTTAAACCTGCTGCGACTTTTAATGCAAATGGGATGAGTAAGAATTGCCCACGAGATCAGGCTTCCCATTCACTATAGGGATTTTAGTCCATTCTTTGAACATTATTTGCTATTCAGGTGTTCTGTGGGTCAGCTGATGACTGATACGATGATATGCAATGTTGGTGCACTCATGTAGTTCTTGAATGGCAGTGGAATTTGTAGCATGTTTAGCCCTAGCAAATGGAAATCCAGACGCTTAATATGTTTAGGAGGTCACTGTAGTCTCAACACGTCAAACACAGCAGCTGTCTTAACGATCTTAGCTGCAGATTATCAGAATAGACTGCTCCACTGGCCTCGAAGAAGAAGCAGATGATTATTTGCGATTAGCAGGCTAGTTTTTTCCTTTGCATACCTTCATGAAATTCATTGACTCAAAAAGCTGGGAATAAACTACAGGTGATTGTAGCAGAAACACCCAGGTCACTCTGTCATCCGTTCCAAGTATGTTGTGAGTTGATTTGATAGTTTCTATGTCACACATACATTTAAAAAGTTTAATTTGATTGAACTGCTGATGTGCTATTCACACTTTTATAAGTTAAATCTCCAGGTTTAAGAGTTACACTGTTCCTGAACCTAGTTATAAAACTTCATTTATCAGACACAAAGGTTATTTTGAATAACAGTGTGCTCTTATTTTGAAATAAAGGCAAAATTAGTAGAGAACTAGAGCTTCAACCATTCGTTTATTAATCCATTAGTTGCTGACTGTTATATTAATTTAATTCATCGTTTTAAATAATTTTTTCAGGAAAAATGTCCAATTATCTGATTTTAGATTCTCAAATGTGAATGTTGTCTTTAATCCTCTACAATGGTGAAAAGTAGTAAGTATAAGCATCAAAACATATTTCAAGTACTAAAAGTGAAAATTCTCAATTTGTAGAATGGTCCATTGCAGAATAATGTGTATATTTTATTATTGGATTATAAATAGTGATATATTAATGTGTTTGTCACTTTAATGTTTGAGCTGGGATAGGTGGAGCTCATTTTCAGTACTTTATATACTGCTGAGTGCATTGTTTGTAGTGTGGATAGAAGTAGAAAGTTGCAGAAAATTAAAATGCTGTACAAATAGTTGCAGTGTATGACATACTCCTGTTTGTGTGTGTGTTGCAGTTTCTATGCAGACTTTGGGCCCCTCAACCAGGCCATGCTGTACAGATACTGCTGCAAACTCAACAAGAAGCTCAAGGTAGGAGACAGTTTACATGCAGTGAAGTAGTCATTACACACCTTTTATAGAGATTTAAGGTGCAAGAGAGTTTACCTACTTTTTTGGCTGACATAAAGGGAACTGACCATTATTTTGAAACCCCAATAGTCCAAAGAACGTACCATTGGACCAAAAGCTGATTGGTCTGACAGTTAATCGGAAACAAAAGCCCACTCAAAGACCAGTTTTTCCCAAAATACCCACTCTCCCTTTAGTTTTTTGCCATTAATATCTTGGAATTGGAAGTGCTGGCAAGGACAAAGTCAGTTGACCTTCGTTGTTATGGTTGCAAGAACAAACATGGTTAACTGTTGCAGTTTGGTTAGGTTTAGGCACCAAAACTACTTAGTTGGGATCATTGTTGGGTTATAATAAGTACATTAGTTACATCACTTAAGTTACATACATGAGTGGGTGATACTAAAGTGTGTACTTTTGGAACAACAGGCCTTCAGAGAATTGGACGTTTGTTTGGGAATAACGGGCTGTCGGAAAAATGGGCTTACAATCTAATAGGCAAAGACTATTGGGGTTTCGGAATAATGGTTGTGGGAACAATGGCTTGGCAGCAACATAAAGCCCGGTGGTGTAAATTTACAGTCTACATTGCGTAAACAACTAAGTCACTCGTGCTGTTGTATTGTTGTTACTGATTATTTATTAGATATTGACCTTTTTTGTTACTTCAGTCCTTCACCATGTCCAGGAAGAAACTGGTCCACTACACCAGTCACGACCAGAAAAAGAGAGCCAATGATGCCGTTCTCATCGGTGCCTATGCTGTAAATATCTCTTTATTTGATCTTTATCCATCTATCATTCTGTTTGTCCTTTTAGCTTTCTAATAACACAGCATAACCTCTCCCCTGTAGGTGATCTATTTGAAAAGAAGCCCAGAAGAAGCCTACAGGACTCTGATCTCAGGAAACAACGCAGGCTACCTGCCGTTCAGGTATCAACACTCACAAACACACACATTGGCTTGTGTTGCTGACGGTCTTTCTATCTTCCCATCCTCTACTATCAGCAGTAACGTCAGAGATCTGTTTACTTTAAACTCTCATTAATATTCACATCAAGTCCCTCCTGACATTAAATCCTGCCCAGTCATGCTAATTATCTGAGAAGTGCCCTTGTTTACTCTAGTGCCCCCACCCCTAAAGTACACAATCAAATCTGGACAATAGTAGTAACTGTAACAATAACTATAAATGTATCTTTTTAAAAATCGTTCTAACTCAAGACGAGTCCACACCACAACTTTAACAACAATGACAGTGGCGAACAATATCGTTGGGATCCCTTTCAGAGCGGTTTGATATTGTGGTAACAACTTATTAAAGTTGTAATTAATTACTTTTACCTTTTTTTGTATCCAAATTACTCTGTTACATGTAATCCATTACTACCTAAGCCTGCTCACAAGTACAAATACGCACACATATTTGAGGCAGTCCAAACTATCATGTATGTGCAAAGTTTTGTCAAAGCTTATCCAGAGCCACAAAGGACATTTTACATTCTTCATTCTTTCTGTGCATGTATGTGTGCCTGTGTGTATGTATGTATGTATGTATGTGTGTGTATGTATGTATGTATGTATGTGTGTGTGTGTATGTGTTTGTGCTTGTGTGTATGTATGTATGTATGTGTGTGTGTGTATGTATGTATGTGTGTGTGTATGTATGTGTGCCTGTGTGTGTGTGTGTGTCCCACAGGGATGCAGGAGTGGGAGAGTGCTCCTTCAACCTCACTGTCCTCGACTGCTTACAAGGAATACGCAAGGTAAACAACAAGTTTGTACATGGGCACTTAAAGATACAGTAGTAATTTTTATAAAAACAGTTTTTTTGTCATATTTGCTGAAACTTTCACTATATCCTGACAGTAGTACATGAGACAGAGAATTTGTGAAAATAATCAGGTTCCTCTGGCTCTTCCTAGGGCTCCTAATGGTATTTGTGAGAATCCACCGGACCTGAATAAAAAACAACCAATCAGAGCCAAGAAAGATAGTTGATTAAAGAGTCTCATTCCTGGGGTGTCATATACAGACGCTTTGGGACCCTGGGAATGGGACTTAACAATAAACTATCTTAAAGTCTCCAACCCAAAGCGTCTTTATATCTTTTTTGGTTCTGATTGGTTGTTTTCTACGGAAGCGCATTGCATTCACTGGATAAAAAAAAAATTGACACCTTATGTCATAATTACGAGATCCTGATCTCGTAATTATGAGAAA